GTTGCACGGCGGCAGGACTCTCGCGATACCACACGCAAATATTTTGAATTCACTGTAAGTACTTGGTATATGCAAGCACTTTTTATACAATTTGTCATATATAAGTACTTAATGAGTATGAAATAAAAATTGGTAGTTACGGGAAATCCCGTCGACCATTTTTGCCTATTAAAAAAAAAGACGCCAAACTACGCAATTTTTCGCCAAAAATGGAAAAGTCTTCAAACACGCTGGGTTTGGTGTATTACACGTTTAGTTATTATACTTCAGTAAAGACTCTTTTTCTTTTTTCCTCTATCACACATTTTCGGAAAAAAAATGATTAAAATTTCAGACCTGCCTACTACAGAAGAGCATGCTGTTGAATATTTCCAAAATTAGGAAATCTTACTGGCCAGAAAAAATGTATTAATGCCCACGAAATGGCGCTTTATTTAAAAACTGAGAAACAATAATAAATAAAAAAAAATAATGGAAATTTTTAATGAAAAATTTAATATAAATAATGGATAATATAATAAATTTGAAAGAAAAAATAATAATAGAACGTTTTGTTCTTGTATTTAGTAAATGGGTTTTTTTTGTTTTGGAGCGATTGGCGCCGTCTTTTATGGTCGACGGGATTTTCCGTAAGTACCTAAAAATTTTATTAATCACTGAGTATTTTTTGGGCCCTAGGAAATATTTGGGCCTAGAGGCCAACAATACTAAGAAAATACGCGGGCAGCCAACAGCCTAGGAACGGCCCTGCTCGCGAGTCAAGTGCCGCTGGTCGCCGGACAGCGGCGTGGCTCTTATGCGAATAAAATACATGTATAAAAAACTAAACTAGTTTTATATCTGAAAGAAAGTAATTAATTTATTTTATTTCTCTATACAAAGTTGTCAGAGATTTCTTTCCATTTGAAACCTGTTTTACTACTTTGAAAATGATGTAAATATGGACTTGCGGCTTTTGGAAAATCTAGTTACGTCTCTCGAACTTTCCTGAATTTCAATATGGCTCTTACTGGTACGAAGTTTGGCTACCGCTGGTCTACATCAAATTTCTCCATTTTCGTATTATCTTTGTTGCTTACGTTGCACTACGTTATTCTAATATGGCATTTATTTTCCACACAGTTTAGCCACTTCCTATTACATGAAGCGTAAGATCTTTAATTTATAATCTGCGTGTCTTAGTAAATTACAAGATCTCAGTACCGCAGGCGTTTGACATGGTATTAGATCTTTTACCTTTCACACTGAGACTAAATATTGCTTAACTGACGAATTATTAGCACAAAAAGGCTATTAGTCTCGAAATGGCATTTTGCGTCGAATCACTAAAAGCGTTGAATCTCTTTTCAAATTGTTGCCTCCAAATTTTATCGCCCTGTATTATATTTAAAGAAATTAAATAATGAAGAATCTGCATGAATTTGCATATGTTTCTCGCATTGTGGTCAAACAACGGTACCTAAGCTATCTTGATATCAGCTATCAAATTTTGATAGCTGTAGTCCTCCACCCGAACATGGGCACCTGGAAGCTTGGATTTTGAATTTCGAATTTGTTTTATTATCTATGTTCTTGTTTGTAAAACTGTAACGAATTTTTGATTAAAAACCCAAGAACTTTAAAGCCAGCAGTACGGAATAGAACATTATTATCTCAAAGGCGTGAGACTGTTTATCAGAAATTTTAAAGATATGCTGTTTTAAGATACTTTTTTTTGTATTTGTGTGGTGTGTGTTTGTGCAAGTGTGTATGCGTGTATGTGCGCGTAAATGAAAAAAAAACACCCTTTAGGTGTAATTTAAAATCTAAACGCTTACAGACTTTTTTAATGTAATATAAATTTTTCTTAACAATTAAGTCCAATTAAAATTGATTCAGAGCCATCAAATTATGTAGGTGGATATTTCTGTAAATATCTTTATTTTTTAAATTTTATGAAATTTATTAAAGTGTTAAAAATTTACATAGAAACCATTATTTATAACTTTATTTAGGAGTTCAAACATTAAATATTCATTTTTAATGCATAACTCTGGTATGGTTTTGAAAATGATTTGACACATTGTTTAATGTGAACAATTCGTATTGTTAAAATGTCTTCTTAGGGATTCTAAATCCACTTCTAATTTTAACGATGATTTGAACGTATTTAATATCAATGCACTGGTTAATATGTTTCAGTATATAGACTCCACAGATGTCCTGTTAGGAATCTGTGGAGTAAAAAGTAAGCATTATTACATATTGTTTAGAAGTTCATTTCTTCAAAAGTTTATATCGTTCCAGCAGATGTAATTTCAATGAATTAGTTCCTCTCTGACACTGTGTTTAACTGATAATATTTAATGTCACATGCATCTAGCTGCGACTCTGAACTTGATGAAACTCAGCACAGTATTTAAATGAGTTTTCGAAAAGCTCCTATTGTGATAAAAATAGTTCAGTGTAATATTTAACGCTGGTAACTTGTAGGTGTATAAGGTTTGACAACTGTCATAGGCGCATTTAAAATCTTCAAGTACGGAACTGAAATACGCTGCTCAAAGGTTTCAGGAGAAAAATTTAACTGAACAAAATAAAGAGTAATATGTATTGCCTAGTGGTTAGATTGGTGGGCTAATCAGAAAGCCGTCATTTCGAGATCACTTGTTTAGACTTTTATTCCATTTTTTCAAAGTAGCATTACTTTTTGGTATAATATAAAATACACTTAATTCATTTTCATAGTTTGAGACCAAAGTTTGCAATGCCGCTTGAAATTATCATTAAGGATCTGTAAGGTAAGCATAAAACTTTCCATTACACTGCTGTGTTAACACTTTTTCGCATTTTTGCTGTATTCCATATACACTGAAGTGACAAAAGTCATGGGATAGCAATATGCAAATATACAGATGGCAGTAGTATCGCGTAGAAAATGTATAAATGCGAAGTGCTTTGGCACGGCTTTCATTTGTGTTCAAGTTATTCATGTGAAGAGGCTTTGACGTGATTATGGCCGCACGACGAGAATTAACAGACTTTGAACGCGGAATGGTAGTTGGAGCTACACGCATGGGTCATTCCATTTCGGATATCGTTAGGAAATTCAACATTCCGAGATCCACAGTGTCAAGAGTATGCCGAGAGTATCTAATTTCAGGCATAACATCCCACCATGGACAACGCAGTGGCCGATCACCTGCACTTAACGACCGAGACCAGCGACGTCTGCGTAGAGTTGTCAATGTTCACAAACAAGCAACACTGCGTCAAATAACCGCAGAAATCAATGTGGGACGTACGAGGGACGTTTCCGATAGGACAGTGCGGCGAAATTTGTCTTCCTTGGGCTATGCCAGCAGAAGACCGACTCGAGTGCCTTTACTTGTAGGGTTTATATTTATTTTAACTAACATTTATTTTAAGTTTAAACTATCTTTCCTGTCAAGCCTTACTTTCCCCTGGAACTGCCAATGCCAGAATATGTAAATTTGAGTAGAACGCGCAAGGATTCAAATTATCAGCGGAAGTATTATGATTTAAATAGGAAGGAAACAAGTTCAGAGTGTGATATTCTTACTTCACGAGCGCGGAGGTAGTTAGCGAGAAATTGAAGAACCCCGCGTTTCGGCCTATGTGCTTGGCGGGAAGTAGTGTTAATCGTTCAAGTGAGCTTCAAGTCTGCTGAATTAGCAGCGGTGTTGTAAAACGCGGTGAGTTAGTTATTTTAGAGAGCCTCGTAGTTAGAGTCTTGTCTTTAGTTTCTTTTCAAGTTATTATTTTTATTTGACCGCCAAGTAGGCGCAGTCTGTGAGCGTCAAGAGCACGCAATTGTAATTTATTACGTTGAATAAAAAGGGACTTAAACCCTTCACAAGACTCTGTGTTTTATACAGTTTCCACAGTCACCTCTTGGTTGCGTGCAAGTTGGAGGCGCGCAACGTTACATACTGACAGCACGACATCGCTTGCAGCGACTCTCGTGGGCTCGTGAGCATATCGGTTGGTCCCTAAATGAATGGAAAACCGTGGCTTGGTCAGATGAGTCACGATTTCAGTTGGTAAGAGCTGATGGTAGGGTTCGAGTGTGGCGCAGACCCCACGAAGCCATGGACCCAAGTTGTCAACAAGGCACTGTTCAAGCTGGTAGTGGTTCCATAATGGTCTGGGCTGTTTTTACATGGCATGGAATCGGTCCTCTGGTGCAACTGAACCGATCATTGACTGGAACTGGATACCTTCAGCTACTTGGAGTTCACTTACAGCCATTCATGGACTTCACGTACTCAAATAACGATGGGATTTTTATGGATGACAATGCGCCATGTCGCCGGGCGACAATTCTTCGCGATTGGTTTGAAGAACATTCTGGACAATTCCAGCGAATGATTTGGCCATCTAGATCGCCCGACATGAATCCCATCGAACATTTATGGGACATCATCGAGAGGTCAGTTCGTGCCCAAAACCCTGCACCGTCAACACTTTCACAATTATGGACGTCTATAGAGGCAGCATGGCTCAATATTCCTGCAGGGGACTTCCAACGACTTGTTGAGTCCATGCCACGTCGAGTTGCTGCACTTCGCCGGGCAAAAGGAGGACCGACAAAATATTAGGAGGTATCCCATGACTTTTGTCACTTCAGTGTAGTTATTGTTCCAAAAAATTTCTGAAACCCTAGTTAGCAATTATGAATCATCCTGTAATTGATTTGAATTAATACACTTACGAACATACTTAAAATTAATAACTATAAGTGGGGCGTATGTAGGTAATGATTTCAATCATTCACTCTTGAAAAACATTCACCTTAAGAATTAAATACTGATTAGCATATGCATGGTACTAATATTCTGATTTATATTTTCTGCTATTTTTGTAAGCACTTGAACTAAAATGTGAAAGAAAAAGACAGAAAATCTATTATTTTTTTAATCAATAGAGTCCAAGAATTTCACTTTAAAGCTAACACGATTTTGTTGAAATTTTCTTTGAAGAAAGTAGTAATATTTTAATTTTAAACATATATTGAAATTTTAATTTCTTTTCTAAATCAATAACAAACTCTATCATAAATTTGTAAGTCTCCAGAAACACCGCTAGGGGTATGAACAACAGCTGTGCTAGTGCTTTTAAAGTATATCCAGCACCTGTAAAACAATTAAAGCATAAATTACTATGTTTATTATTTTCGAAACAAAATACATTATTAAAAACCCAATGTGCTTAATATTGAATAACGTGTAAAATACGCTTACGTTTCCAAAACACTTCATATATATTTCTAAAACTGTTTATTAAAAATAATCATTTAATCGCCTTAATTAAATTCTCTTTTATATGATAAATAAAATTTGACAAAAAGCTAACAAAAGTTTTATTTGACAAAATAATCTTCTTAGAGTAGTTTTGTTCTTATTTTGAGCAAAACGTGCTGAATAAACAAAAGTGCTGTAATAACTTTAATGAAAGATTTATTCTTTTAATTTATTTTAACCAAAAATCATTGTTATTTTAAAAATATGGAATAATTGTATAGGCTCTCATCCTTAACTGCTTAAAATTGAAGATGTATATTCTTTATTAATAACTTTTAAGGTCTTTTTATGTTTTCTAATCATATGAATGAATTATTAAAGAATGTATAAATTTGTTTCTTTTAAAAATGATGATTTTGAAAGGTAGAGAATGCAATTTAAAATTTTTAATTAATTATGATTTCTATCAAATATATACCGCTGCAAAAAAATTATATTCCACAAAATATTCAACCAAACTGATTTGTTTTTCACTGGAATGAGTAATAGGCAAACTTCATCCGGTCCAGTTTGATCAGCCTCTGATGAAAATAATGACACTGTAAGCGCTTTGTACAAAGTATCCTTGCGAACTTCTGCAATTTAGGATTTGATTTCAGAGTTTAACTAGTCAAAGCAGTTTTTATGATACCGAAATGTTGCTTAGAAGATTCTCTGAGAGAGAGCTGTCGGCTGCTTAGAAACAAAGCAAACAAAAGTAAAGTAGCAAGAGTTGAATGTTCCAAACAATAGTCCAATAGTCTCTGCTGTTTGGAAACAACTTAAAGACTTTGGAATTGCTGCTAAAAAACCAAATATAGGCGTAAAAGTAATAACAATTTCATTAAAGGGGGTTTATGTTAAGTGCTAATTGCAGCTGGAAACTGATTGCCAGGTAGATGAGTTTTAAATGTGCACTGGCCATTTGAACTCGCTTTCATTTTTAGGCAATCTACATACAGTATGCTTCCCTCCGATCGTAATGGGTTTAGATCTTAAATTTCAAAAGTTCCTCAAAATCTCATCAATAAATGTTATTTTCTTTGATTATAATTAAAAAATGACTCTCTCACTTTGTAGATTCCTTTTCGTCCAATATACATCAACCCCAAAATCGGAAACATTAAAAAGTAGCAATTTTCATTAATTTCTTTAATTTTTCATTAATGAATACTAAAATTTTCATTAATAAATACTAAAATTTTCATTAATGAATACTAAAGCTTTCCTTCTGTAACAATGTTTACGTTCATAACGTTGAGGTAGAGCAAAGGGTTTGCGTTTCACCACATTCTCATCAAATAAATATGAATTGGTCATAGAAAATCAAAACTGTAGTCAATATAATGGCACTATATATTCATTTCGATAACAAGTTTCTGTTTAACACCCGATTCTAAAAGCTCTACAGCTGAAATTCGAGTCGGCTCCAGAGCTATTCACCTTTCTCCGCTCTTACATATTATTTCACTTTTATTTGCTTTATTTTTTCTGTATCTTAGTATTCTGTAGTCGATATTTACACTTGCATTTGTGTATTATAATGATAGTTATTACCCCCCACAAATTCAAGTAATTTTATTCAACAGTTTCTCAGTTTATCAACAGGTTTGAGAATCTGTCTGAGTTTTCAGCATGTAAAAATAATTGTGGTTAAAAAGTACATATATACATGCATAATTTTTAATGAACTTTTATTTCTTTAAATACTTTAAACATTTAGCAGCATTAAAAACATCACATAATTTTTTATGGTTTAAATTAGTCAGACTTACTCCAAATATCTCTCATTAGAAATGGGGCAACTCAATCGATGGAAAATAATAATCAATGTAGTTCAGTAATATTTGACCTAATTACTGAAACTTTCCACCCAAAATAGGAAAACAGGCTGGAAGGAGTGGTTTCACTGAAATGAATTATATTCGTTTAGGGGAAAAGCACAAACGAATATATGCTTGAAAGGAGGGATGTCTTCGTAAAAGACTCAGTTCATGTTCTAAGGATCATCTTTGGTGCAAACTGAACTAAACATCGAATTTATATTTTTTAAGTAATAAAACGCATTTTATACTTAGACTAAAAGCTTTAAATTCAATATATTTGCAAGAGTTGAAAATAAAAAATGCTTAAAATTAAAAGATATAGTTTTAAGTCACTTCAAATGAACTGTAATTTGAAGGGTATACTGGGCTACTTAGAAAAAAGAATCTCAGAACTACAAATTTCAGAATTCATAAAACTTAGCTTTTACTCACATGCAAATTCTAAATCCTGTTATGCGAAATACATGTTTATTAGAACGGCTTAGGTATAGTCACATGATCAACTCCATACAAAGCTAAGAGTGAGGTTAGCGTACTAAACCTTAACCTAGAAACTCTATGTTGTGAGCATTGCTGTACGCTCGAATGATTAATTGCTTCATATCTCAGCTGGTTTGTATTTCTTGGCAGAATTTCACCATTTTCCACTGTTATGGCAAGCGTTACTGTTTTAGACGCATAACATGCGTTTAACTGTCTTTTTTAGTTTTAGCTGTCTTTTTCAGTTTAGTTAGTTAAACGCATTTTATGCGTTTCTCCAAATAAAGTAAATTATCTACGCCCGATTTATGCTATATATGTATAAAAGGCTAACTCGTACATAAAAAACTCACTTCTAATGGTTAATTTCCGGTTAGCATAATATTGCTAATACCATTCAAATAGATACAATAATCAGAAAAAAATTTTCTTCTCGAAATCTAATGAATCTACAATTCCACCAGCTTCCTTCGTTTGTACACCTTGCTCAAAAAAAATGGACAGTTCTGTATCTCCCGTTTTAATGTGCCAATTGACGAAATTTAACTTGCGTTTTTTATGTCTCGAAAGCGCAATTTAGAATATGTGTTATATTTACATATAGCATTGTCCTAACGTAAATATTCTGACACAAAATGAGACTTTTCTGATGTATATACCGATTTTTTCCATATTTCGATTTTACGATCCAAATTATGCCAAAGTTCCAAGTTTTGTAAAAAATCGCACGAGTGGTTTTTAAAACTCTCAAACGCTCTCAAAATTTTAGCCCTTCAATGTTTATTGAATTGATTATATATTTATTAATATCTCTTTTTTTGCTAAACTTAACTGATTCCTTGTTTCACAGTTCGAAAGCTAGGTTCAATCCAAATCAAATTCACAGATATTTTCTGATTTATTTTTAAAATTTGTATTATTTAGTAATTTTTATAAACTATTTGAAAATATTTCTGAAGAATAACCTATAAAATTTTTACTATCACCTTAAATTAGATATTTTTTCTAGGAACACCTGCAAAAAAATTATTTTATTCAAAATTTCCAAAGCTATACATAAATTTAGATATATATTGGCGCGCTTTGAAATTTGGTATAATTGTTATAAGCGATTATAACGACAAATGTGCTTTAGGCGCTTTTGTAACATTATTTGAAAGAACGGACGATGCACCTTGTTTTCTGCTCGTGCACAATGAAAAAAGGGAAACGAAAATAGGTTACTATAAATTAAGAATTTCGCCAACTGTATTATTTCTAGAGCAAACTGAAAAATGTACTCCGAGATATGTTTTTAAATTCCTTGGTGAGTTACTCACCAAATTTTACAAAATTCAGCATTTGCGCATCATTTGATTTGTAGAATCGAAACATGGAAAAAAAATCGCATATCATTTCAGAAAAGTCCGATTTTATGTAAAAATATCTATGTTAGAGCAATGCTTTATATGAATCAAATATATATCCTAAGTCGCGCTTTCAAGACATGAAGACCGCAAGTTCAGTTTCGTCAATCGGCTCAGTAGAGCAGGAGATATATTACCATTTTTTTCCAATAAGGTGTACCATAAAAAAACTTAAATTACCTGTAACTGGAGGTACGCGTTTTGCAACTCTTGGCGAAGTATTTACTTGTTCATAATTATCAAAGTAATCATTAGTGAACTATGGTAATTGTAATAATATTCAAAGAGAAAACTTGCTGTGAACAGTGCCCGGATACCTTTCACAATCATCAAAGGTTTTATCGCACTCCCGGGAAACACTGAATCCAAATATCTGAATAATTAAGTGCATTGTATATAAGGATAAATACAAAACTGAAAAAAGAAATTTAGTCCATTACATTTTTATCCCAAGGAAACTCGCTGTTAATGCATACGCAATAACTAACAGCACAAATATGCGTAGTATATTAAGTATTATACTAATTATAATATTGTGTGGTTTCAGCCTCTTTGTAATAAAAGAACCACACAGTTTAAAAGTCTTCGTTGTAGTACATAATATTTTATAAAATTATTTTAATAAAGAAATTAAAATTTTTTTCAGTTACGATGCATCTGCTGATAACTGCGCATGCTACATACAGCCTTCTGTTCATTTAAACCTTGTAAATTTCCTTCAGGTCTTTTGATTTATAAGGTGTTTGTAAAAATGCCAAGACACTCACTTTCTTAAAGTTACGAAGATACTTTGAAATCATTTTATCCTTGTTCAAAATAAATCAAATGGCAAATCAGAATTAAATGCACTAAAATACTTACTGTTTTTCTTTTTTATGGTATAAGCTAGTTGTAAGATCCAGTTCAGTCATGTGTTCGGCGTATCCAATAGATCTGCAACGTTCTTCTGCAATACATAAACTCTGGCATTCCTTCAAACCACCTTTGACTTCCCCTTTCTTCATCATTTCTTCATCGTATACTTTTAATAAACCTCTAATTGAATCATGAAAGTTATTTTCACATTGTGCATCTGTTTGTGAAAAAGAATATTTCTTTAGAATAAAAAAAAATATGTTTTCTTTGTAGACTAAAACTTACATTTGGGTTATTACAAAGATATAATTATGTGCGTGCGGGTTCGTAATGGATTGAAAACACACAGAACCGATGAAAGGTTGATAAATTTAATTTTTCCCAAAGAAATATTTTACAGTTCTGGAACATTTAGCAAAAGTACTCGTACAACTCTTAGAAATATGATAAAGCTCAGTCAGTAGTTACCACTTCAAATTGCTAAGAACGTTAAACACAAGACAATTCAGAAACCTCAAATGAGTACGCTCGCACAAAGATCTCTCAATACTCTGAGCTAAATTCTGAGCTCAACTCTGAAATAAACTAGACTGATGCTCTCTCCGGTCTCGTATAGTTTTCTCCCATCCATCCATCCAGAAATATCTAGTACCTTCGATTTGTCGAAATTTTAGGAAGACATACAAGGTTACAGTTGCATAGGCACGAATACAGTTACATGGGGATCGTAACAGTTACAGTTACAGCGGTACAAGACCAAATTGTCGCCCATTGATCGCCAAAGTTTGGTAACTTTTGGCCATTTCTTACCAAATTTGGCGATAAAAATTTGTCACCAAATTTATTGCCAGCTTGGTGCTATTTCGACAGTTTGGAGAAATAGCAATTTACCTCAGTGGACTTACTCCTGTAGTCCTCTTTTTCCAGCTATACTTCACTCTCTTGAAGTATAGAGTCTTTAATCTTACACTATACAAGAGTTACTACAATTTACATATATTTTCACTAAAATTATTTACATATGTTTATGTAAAATCCGTAAAAATATTATACATTATTAAAGAGACAAGTTACTGTAGTGTCGTAATTATTATTATTAAATTCATGTTTTCTCATTTGCATGCAAACTACAAGTTATTATTTGTGTCTAAATTAAATTCCAAAAAGAAAACAATCTGAAAGGATTCAGATTTTGACGGTAGCCTAAAAGGGCTCTTTTAAAGTTTAATATAATTTATCGGTAGCGATTATCAATAGAGGTAGCCCAGAAGGAATAATAGGATGTTATATATCTTCTGTAAAGTTGAGAAATGAAAAAATATACAACATAATTCTATAAAAATATTTTAATTACACATATCATAAGTTATATGCACTTTCTTTGAAATCAATCAGATTAAAAAGTATAGAAGTAATATTCTTAAGAATTGCATCAACTGCTTTAAACATGTTAGTTTATTAATCAGAAACAAACAAAGTAAATTTGAAAGATAAATATCTTACATTTCGCCGAGTGGCAACAGATTCGAACGAAAAGTGAAGCAACGCATTTACAGTGGACGTCATTTGAAGTGAATTATCGCAAAATCGTATTTTGAGACTTTTAGCCTTTTGGGCTAAAAACAAATAAAATTAAAAATGGGTACTTTCAAAATGTATTAGTAATTTCTAGATATGCATAAAATATGATCTTATCTATTCAGTCAGTAACTGAATTAATATTATATTAACAGAAGTGTGAAACTGACAGAAATAAACAAGATGCAAAAAGTGTTATTTCTTACCCTCATTTTTCAACTTAGAAACATTTACATAAAAAAATTTATTTATTTTCAGATTTTAACATAACTTATTTATTCCGAATATTGCAAGAATGGAAGTGAATCTTATCATATTTTTTTTTAACTTTCTTGTTGTGAAAGTTTTTCTTTAACTTTCTTGAAAGGAGAAAATCACAAAAATTACAAATAACTGCGTTTAAAATTCAAAATAATTATCTGTAAATCACTTTAAAATTAGAATAATGAATGTGATTACAAAAGAATTATTCACAGGTGGGAAAATTTATCAGACGTTATTGCTCCCAGTTGGGTATATACAAAAAAGAAACAGTACGGAGAGTTTTTTCATAATTACACTCATGTTTCTCTTTCGGTTAAGCAGTAGCAGAACATGAAATATAAACAAATTAATGCAAGTCTAACTTTACCTAAATTAGATGTCTAAGCGATTAAAAAAAAATAATTGCGATTAATGTTTGTAATATTTATTAGGAAAGATGCTTCGATTCCTATTAAAGTATTAATAATAAACATTTTAATAAAATGAGTTTGACTAATGATAATTTTAGTTAAAGATGACTGTATTCAAATTAGAGCTATGTTGTAAAAAACAAAACAAAAAAAAATTAAAGTTAGGACACCCAGCTGCTGTGTGCCTAATTTTGCGCTTCCTATTTTTAACTTTCATCATCAAAAAGACAAAATCGACCATAACTTAATGAGATATTTCAAAACATTCCATTGAACAGTTCGAAATATAATGCTAGATACTTATTCATTTGACTGAAAGAAACTTCAGATATTTTCAGCAGGGAAGGAGGAAGAAGAAGAAGAAAGAAAGTGCAATCAAATTATGGCATACTTAAAAAAAACAAGTATAAAGTTTCCTTTTTTCTTAAAACGGAAAAATTAATAATCCAGTTTATTATATTATAATTCTTATTTTTAAGAATTTTTTTAAATGATACTTTCTACTTGTAACAATATTCTTTAGATAAGGTACTGTAGATGAACTCAGAATAATTATCAGATATGAAACAGTTATGCAACACTCAAACGGAAATGGAGCACTGTGACCCTCAGAACAGAAAACAGCTTCCGCCACATCCTCCGTTGCATGGAGACTAAGATTAGATAAGACAATCACGCTACGTACTGAGCGCCAGTGGACAGATAACGTCCTCCCACTTCGCTCGCATTTGCCCGGAACTATATTTTTAATGCGTGCAACGGTGCAGAAAGTATAGCCTTTTCAGTTAAAGAGCAATCCAAAAATGAGTGAAAACGTTGATTCAAATCACATAAATCAAAGTAAATCTTCGCCAGAGGAAAGCCTCGAAGACCTAGAGTGCCTTAACTTCCCCGGCGATGTTGATTGGTCATCGACTCTCGTACTAAGGTGTGATCCGAGCGCTGGCCCTTACAACCTCAGTGACGTAACAGCAGGTTTGTTCAATATAGTCCGTCGCATTGATGTCTTCAATCTAGGTGCCACATCTTTGAACCATGCTTTCACCATGAGCTTCAAAACCACTTACGGTTTGGAGAATTTCGTAAAGTACTTGAAAAATCCTAAACTGTGCAAAGGCGTAATGGTAAAAGGGCACCGTTGCACGTTTACCAGAGTGCCAAATAAGTGTGTCACTGTAATAGTTCGATGGATACCGCTAGAAATCGACACAGCTCACATAACAGAAATATTTAACAAATATGGAGCCATAGTAAAGACGGAGTTACTGAGGAGCAAATTCAGAGGTTGGTTCAACGTGTACACTAACGAAAGGAAGATAACGTTGTGTCTACGACCAGGAGTTACGCCACAGGACTTGCCGTACGGGATTGTAGTAAAGGAACTGATTGGTGCCGTTTTTGTTGAAGAACGTAATCCAAAATGTCTAGAATGTTATTACACAGGTCACAAGAACGATTCGTGTGAACATGAACAATGCGCTTTTAATCAAATTAAGAAATGAACACCAGCTACCACTATTGTAATTAGAAAATTTTTGAAGTCATTCCATGCTTCTCTTTAAAATAGTAAGAAACAAAAAATTGGCAAATAAGAAATAAAAAATGGTTTTCAGAAAATTTTTTGAATTCAACAATCTTTTTAAGGCTCTGGATATTTTTCTTTAATTAGTAAAGTGCAAATCAAATGAAATTTTCGTTAATGATAAATCAAAGTGTGATGGTTTACAAATAAATAACAAGTCAAAACTGCAAAAGATGGTTTCTCAGTAAAGAGGATTAATATGATTAAACTGTAGAGATATTTTCACAATTTGATAGTAAGGTAGGTAATTAGATAAATGTATTAAGTGTTTTCATGACAAATACAAGTAGAACGTTCATTTCTTTTAAATGTTAAGAGTATTTTCATTTTCTTTGTTTCTATTTATATTTTAATCATTAATAATCTACTGCTAATGATTAAAATTCAAATATTAACAAATTTTACATTAATAAGTATGAATATTATTTTAAAATACATACAAATGGTTTATATTTTAATCATCAATAGTCTATTTAATTTCAAAATGCGTTATAAAAATCTGCATGTTTACTAATAATTTTGATTTCAAATTTTTAATTATTAATGATTTAAAATGTTATCATTTTAAGATATAAGTATTCTTGCCTTTTTTATTGAGAGTACTTCTTTTTCCATTTAAGCAAAATAGCTAGTTTCAAAAAATAATATGAAATTATTAGTAGCAGCTCTCAATATTTAATCCAACTTAGGGAAAATTTTATTCAAGTTTAAAATCAATAAATGTTTAATTTTTCAGCTTCTAAAAGAATTATCTAATGTAAATATATGCTCGTTTGTGTTTGTGTACATGTACATAAGTATTTTTATTTTATGTTTGTATGTATGTTATATATCATATAAATATATAAATATATATATATATATACATATATATATTATATATAATATATATATATAAAAAATCAAAAACATCAATAAATAAATAAATAAATAAGTAAAATAACTTTTAAGTGAAAATTTCAATAAATAGCTAATCTGTTAGTTTGCAAACAGCAAAAAAAATTTAAAAATAGTTTTAAAATATTTTATATAAAATTTATAGAATTTATAATATATATATACTATAAATAAATTTATTTATTAAAGAAATATTGATTACATTATCTCCAAAGATTAATTTTAGTAGAATTATCTAAAAAGAGTGAACCCATAGTTAGTAAATTTAATTCCGAAAATTGTTTTAAAGTAACTTGAATGTAAATTGTTAAAAATGTTTAACGGGGACTTGAATTAAATCATGAATAACAAAATTTCAATTGTAAAAAGAAATTAAATTAAAAGCAATTAATCATTGCCATTGATCGGAAATTAGTTGACTTTTCAAGGGGAACAAATCAACTCCCGTTCAATGAACAATAATTAAGAAATAAATACAAAGGTGTTTCGTCCTTTACTCAAGTAATAAGGCGATACTAAACTGGCAATTTAAGTTAGGCCAACTATTTCCGTGAATTGAAGGGATCAAGAACCAATGCACAGCATTAAAGAACTCATTCTGATTAAGCATTTTCGCTTATTCAATTTTGAGTGAAAAGCAATTTATGCAGTAAAATTGATAAAGTGTTATTTCTTTAATAACTAAATTATTATTAACTTACTTTGCAGCTATTGCGCAAGTAGTACAATAACTCGATTTCGCACTAAGTGATTTTAAGATTATACTATAAATAAATATATATAAATAATTATAAATATATCCATATAAAATTATATTTTATAATATATAATATACATTATATACTATAAATAAATATACAAATAATTATAAATATATATATAAAATAAGGCTTTGTAAATTTTTATAGATATTATACATATAATATCTATAAAATTTTTGTATTTAATTTTCATTTATGGGCAATTAATTAGCAGCGGTTTGAGTCACATGATGGCAGGAAGAACGAAACGTGTGTTCGACACTCATTAATCATCCGGATTTAATATTTTAAATACTAACCCTTTGAAAAGTTTTTTTTGAAGCATTAAACAGAAGTTGATTAATAGTTTTTATTTGTTTCTCCCTTAATTATTTTTTCAAACTTTAATAACCCTTTTAGAAAAAAATTTCTTCAGATTTTGCATTTCACTATAAATTAACGTAAGACAATATTAATACGCTAACCAATTTTTCCTAGTATAGTGTAATTTTTTTAATAAAAAAAGTTTTTTAAAAATTACTTTAAAATATATACATATGCCACACTCATAAATAGTAAATAGATTTTCCTTCTAAATATATCCCATTTTGAATCCTCCTTCTCTCTCTTTCTCTCTCACTCTCTGTATGTATATAGATAGATAGATCGGTGCATATATAGGTAGACGTATCGATATGAGTATGTTTGTGCATATGCATGTATTGTGCATGCATATTGTATAGTTTAAGTTACCAAACTTCAAGGCGTTGCTTTTTCCTTACATTAAACTTCTGAAACTCAAGACATTTTTACATATAGAGTCTCATTTAAAAAATATAAAAAAACTGAAAATAAAATAAAAGGTTTTTAAACTGGAGCAGCACGTCAAAGAGGTTAAAGAAACGATTCCTGAGTATCTCCTTTAAGAATCTGCTCCTTTTTCTTGCTCAGCCCTATACATAAAATGCATATTGGGGTGCTACGTCTTCGTCCAGCTATGCATACCACTCGATATCCGCAAAGGGAAGGACAATTTTTGCCGTCAAAACGTTGGGCCTTCACACTTTTGCCAGATATTTTTAATGTATGGAAAGTAATTAGTATACACGTACACACATATATATGCACAACGCACATAAGATTATTCCTATCTCGCCATGTGTACGCCATGTGTACATTTATACGCAATCCTATGTATAATATGTATACAGAACTTTAAAAATATATTTTGTGCAATGTAGTAAGCATAGAGTATAAAGTTTTGAATGTAAAAAAAAAAAAAAAAATATCTTGAAGCTTATGAAGCTCAGAACTCAGAATGGTTTATACGTTCATTCAATATGTATCCCCTAAAAACAACAGTAAACTTTTCGTAAAAACAAAGGCATAATTAAAAATATCTGCGAACCATCAATAAAATGCAAAAAAAATGTATGAAAAGCAATTATAACAATTTTTATTGTTTTGGTTATTATTATTAGTAGTATTAGAAGTAGTAGTAGCGAGCAGTTCTTGTAGTAATAACTGTAATAAGAGTAAGACTGCACTAGTTTCGTTTAATTTTTTTGTAGCTTTAAACTGAATTTTTTCATAAACTTAAAATTCAGCAGCATAAATAATTTATACATTCAAAAGCAAAGTTACGTAAATTTTTAAAACAGCATATCCAGTTTAAAACAGGATAGCCAGTGTACGTTTAGAATCCCGATGCAGCGTCAAGAGTTTGCATGTATTTTTTTGCGGTTTTTTTCTTCAGTTCATCATATCAATATTCAGTTTTTTTACTAAAACGGCTTTACAAAATTTTATTTTATTTTTATTAATAATGTCTCATTTGTTTGTTGTCTTTATTAAATATTAAGTTCTTGACCTTACGCCACATAAAATTCGATTCAACAGCAAAATCATAAAATATTTAAAAACATCATATCTTTAGAATTTCCTCTAGTCTAGACAGACCTGGGCTTCTGGAGATAATCTTTTCCCCCTGACAATATTGCCATTGCTCGCATTCAGATCGTTGAATTTGTTAACATAAATTCATTTTTTCAAAACTTTTATAAAATGGGAAACACAGAATTCGAAATTCAAAATTTGGGATTCCAGGTGCACATGTTCGGGAGGAGGACTATGGTATTCAAACCTTGAATAGCTCCGTTGTTTTTTCACAATGAGAGAAACATGCATACATTCATGCAGATTCTTCATCATTTAATTGTTTAAACATAATGCAGAACGAATTTGGTGGCCAAAAAAAAAAATTGAAAAGTGATTCGACGCAAAATGCCGTTTCGAGACTAATAGCCCTTTTGGGCTAACGCCCATTTAGGCCAAAACAAAATTCAGCAGAATTAATTAGCAATACTTGGTTTTTGTGTAGCATTGACTGCCGCAGCTTTGACAAAAATTAAATTCTCTTTTGCGAAAATCTATAGTATGCCACATGTTACCTAATACGAATATTGACAAAAATAGTATTTTAAGTTTTTTACTGATATCTGATAAAATAATTCGCATTGAAGAAAATATCGTTCTTCAGTTATTTACTTAAAAGAATATTAAATGCATAATACTAGAAATGCCTTTACCATAATTTAATTACTATAATAATTATTATTTTACCCTTCTCAGTATCGATGAAAGTGTCCCTCTGAAACTTCCTCATCGAAAATAAAAGAGAGAGAGAACAGCTGTATATATTGTTTAATGTAATTAGACATTTTACTGTTTCATTTGTACTTTTTTTAGTTAATCTCTTAGATGAAACACTTTTAATAGTGCTTTCAAAATCAATTTAAGGACTTTTCAAGGTAACTTTCAAGAGGTATTTAATATAATCTTAAAATAAAATTGCAGGCTATGACTTATTTTCAAACTTCTCTATGTGCAGTTGCTGTAACCTTTAAGAAATCCATTAAGTTTATAAAGTATCAGAAGTAGAAGCAATCAGACCCACCTAACCAAACAAATTGGTCTTATGACCAAAACAGGCCACGCCAAAATATTCAATAAATAAATTATTTATTAAATAAGTTTATAAGGTATTTTCTCCCTCCTTTTTGCATGAGATCATGCTGAACTGGAAGCGCATTCGAGAGGTCCGGGTTACAGACACGGCGAGGGCATTGCTCATTTTGCATGCCTCCAACATCAATAACCCTAATGACTGTACATAAGCGTCCGAACTAAAATATATGATGGACGATAATTCGTCACAACCAGGATTTGACGAGTGGGTCCCCTTATCCCCATTCGCCCTTTAAAAGAGGGAGTATATAAGGTATTTTCTCCCTCCTTTCCCCAATGCCTTCGCGGTGTAACTGGAAGCACACTCGACGCGGATTCAGGAGGGTCGGAGTTCGAATCCCCGGTAAGGGCACCGCATATTTTTCACGTCT